GCCAGAACGGGAGGGGCATAGAGTCCAGGAAACAGGGACTTGAAGCTGAGACCCCCAACCCAGCCCTATTCCCACAGATGGATTCGCCCTGGGCCGGGCTCCTCTGGCTCCTCCCTACGCCGTGGTTCTCATTTCCTGCTCCGGCCTCCTGGCCTTCGTCTTCCTCCTTCTCACCTGTCTGTGCTGCAAACGAGGTGATGTCGGCTTCAAGGTGAGGTGCATGAGGAAATTCAGCCTGGGGAGAGGATTCCAGCAAGGCCTTTCCCCCAACCCAGGTGGTTAGTAGGGGAGGGGGCAGTAAGTCCACTCTAGCCTGGAGTTACAGCCAGAACTGGAGTTGAGTTGTGGGATGTAGAGATTGGGGGTGGACATTAGGTTGGGATTGGGGGATAGTTATAAGAACTGGGGAGACATACTTAAAAGAAGGATGATGGTGTGTTTCTCAGCCCTGTGTTCTCTCACCCCCCCCCAACCCTCCCGGCTCCAGGAGTTTGAGAACCCTGAAGGGGAGGATTGCTCTGGGGAGTACACTCCTCCTGCAGAGGAGACTTCTTCCTCCCAGTCGCTGCCTGATGTCTACATTCTCCCGCTGGCTGAGGTCTCCCTGCCAATGCCTGCCCCACAGCCTTCACACTCAGGTACTGCACCACACCCTGACCTGGATCCCATGGTTCACAGGGCAGGGCAAGAAGGTCCTGAGTGTCTTCCTTCAGGGGCCAGACAGCTGAGACCAGGGGCAAGTTGATGGGAAAGGCACAGGTGGGAACCCCAGAATCTTGGATGTAGCCTACAGGGAGGCAGTCAGAGATGACCTTGGTAGAAGCCATTTCTTTTTTTTTTTTTGACGGAGCCTCAAGCTATCCCCCTGGGTAGAGTGCCATGGCATCGCGCTCACACCAACCTCCAACTCCTGGGCTCAAGCGAGTCTCCTGCCTCTGCCTCCCAAGTAGCTGGGACCACAGGCGCCCACCACAACGCCTGGCAATCTTTTGGTTGCAACCATCATTGTTGTTTGGCGGGTCCAGGCTGGGGATTCGAACCCGCCACCTCAGGTGTACGTGGCTGGCGCCTTAGCCGGTTGAGCCACAGGCGCCGAGCCTAGAAGCCATTTCTTAATCCAAAACCAGATTTGGGGATTCTTGTGGGGCAATAAATAGTGAGATCAGTGTAGATCTGTCTCAGAGGCAGCCAATGGGAGGCTGAAATAACATCCTAATAGGGGATGCCAATGGGAAAGACTAATTGGTTCCAGAAGTCTGTGTGCATCCAATGAGGAGGCTGAAATTCTGACATGGATTGTTGGAGGCAGCCAATGAAGAGATTGGTGTCTGCTTTGATCCCAGTCCTCACTGAGCTGGGGTGTGTTGGTGGCACTTGGGAAAGGACAGAAGAATATGGCTTCTCTCTCTTGCCCTCCCTAGACATGACCACCCCACTGGGCCTTAGTCGCCAGCATCTCAGCTACCTACAAGAGATTGGGAGTGGCTGGTTTGGGAAGGTGAGTGGGGCAGGGGTGGGAAGTGAGGCTTATACAATCCTGGGCTGTCCTGTTCTGTGTCCACCCCCTGCTATCACCACTTCTCGTCTGTCTCTGGCCTTCTACCCGTCCCCCCTCAGTTCACCTATCTCCCCTCTGTCCACCTCTCGCCCCTTCCTACCCACCCTATGTCCCCCCATCTGTCAGTCAGCACCTCCCTCCTCACTCCATTGACCACTCTGCCACGCCATCTGACTCTCCACGCGTCCACTCGTCTGTCCATCCTTCCATCCGTCCCTGCATCCATCGGACTCTGGGCCTGTGAGTCTCTCACCCTACACCTGGGGGCAGGGAGGAGGGTGGGTGGGATGTGAAGGGGGAGGCTCAGAAAAGAGGGGGCAGTTAGGAGCTGTGAGGTGGGATGGAGCTGGTCCCGGGGGGCTTGGGTCTGGGGAAATGATGCTGTCTGACCCCTGGGTGCCCCCTGACCAGGTGATCCTGGGAGAGATTTTCTCCGACTACACCCCTGCCCAGGTGGTGGTGAAGGAGCTCCGAGCCAGTGCAGGGCCCCTGGAGCAGCGCAAGTTCATCTCGGAAGCACAGCCATACAGGTACTGGAGCCCAAATCCCAGGTTTGCACCTCACAGAAGTCACATTTGGGAGTGGAAGGAGCACAGTGTGGAGTCAAACCTGGAACCCACCTCTTCCTGGCTGTGCAACTCTGGCATGAGGGTTTCCCTCCTGTAGCCTCATGTTCTTTCTGGGGACAGAACTAGGGATGGGAAGTAACAGGCAGCATGATGGAGGGGGGAGAGCACAGAAGCTGACCTAGTGGCCTGTCCCTTCCACTTTGAACCTCAGGATCTTCAACTGAAAGGGCGTCCAGGAAGCCCGAGTATCCTCATGAAGAGGGCAGCTGAGAGGATGCAAGATTCCCCTGTGTTAAGTGCTGGCCACCTGCTGGTGGTCCCTTCCTCAGGCCTCTGCATGTGGGTGAGGAAGGGTGGAAGCAGAACAGGGCCGTCTGAGCAGGTGCTCAAGTAGCCCAGGGAGAAACTGTGCCCTGCTTCCCTGCCCCCTGCTAGATTGTGGGGTCTGCCCCTTTACCATGTTTGGTCTCCTTTCAATTCTAAGGGATCCTAGAATGAGGTCTAGATAAACATTTGCCAGATAAATGCTTTGTGAGGTAGTGAATTCCTTGTCCCATAAAGGGTGTGAACCTGGAGATCTTTTATCAGAATGGTTGTAAAAGTGGGGCTTACCCTGACAAACACAGACATTGGATTTTGGTTCTCTTTATCCCAAAACCTTCCATGGCTCCCTATTGCCCACAGGACAAGTCCCACTCTTTCCCCACAGTACTGCATATTCTGACCCAGTTCTTTTCCTGCCACTATCCCCTTCACTGACTCTTCCACATATAAGCCTCTCCCCTCTTGTGGGGCCTTTGTCCTTCCTGTTGTCTCTCTCTAGAATATCATTCCTCACTCAGCTCTAGCTTTGAACTGGGGGCTGTCTTCTCCTTAGGTCTTAGCTCAGTGGAGCCTTCCTTTACTCCCAGCTTCTATCTAAGGAGGGCGCAGGGATGTTCCATAATATCCTCTCATGAGTGTTCTTTATAACACGAATCCCAGATTGTCATTATTTCATCTATTTAGTTGTTTATTGTCTGTCTCTCCCTAGAATCATGCTGGCAACCACTAGCCACATGTGGCTATCTAAACTTAAGCTAAATAACATGAAATCAAATTAAGAGCTCACCTCAGTTATACTCATCATATTTCAAGTGCTTGATAGCCACATGTGGCCAGTGGCTCCTCTGGTAAACAGTGCAGGTCTAGAACATTTCTGCCTTCACACAGTTCTCTTGGATAGCACAGGTCCATACTGGCAGCTCGAGGTCCATCTTGTCCCCCAAGTACAAATGCACATTGGCCCAGGTGCTGAATGAGCCACAGACCTGAGATCAAATCCCAGCTTTGCCACTGTTATCATCCATGTGACCCTAGGCAAGTCACTTCACTTCTCTGAACTTCTGTTCCCTTCCGGATCAAACAAGGATTATCATCTTGCCTAGTAGGGTTGTAGAGAGGATTTGATGAGAGTGTGGCTGGCCGTGGCTCAGATTTGAAGGTGTGCAGCCAATCCAAGTTTATTTCTACATCTGCCATCCTAAATCTCCCACGTTGGGATCTCTAGCCATCATTCAAGCCCCAGCACACGGCAAGCACTTTATAAACACTTTGCCGCATGATTGTAATACAAAGCAGAGATGAGAGGCACTGTTCTCCCACGTGGAGATCACACCAGGTACATGTAAAGCTATGTTAAGATGCAGATGATGGACAGCTGGAGCCTGGGTACTGCTCTCCACAGCGCACACATGGCCCCTGCCTCCTGCCAGGCCCCAGCAGGAAAATAACTTGCTGTGCATCTATGCCTGGCTGAACTCTGGGCCACAAGCCTGAAATTTTAGAATCCTCCCACAGACCCACAGGCCAAGTAGTAGAGTAAAAGTCCTTCATTCTACATGTTTTATTGAGCATCTACTAGCGTAGGCACTGGGGACACACCTGGAAGAGGAACATCCCAAATCTTCATCCCTGTAGAGCTCACCACCTAGTGGAGGAGACATACAATACGTAAATGAAGACATACATTTTAAGAAAAGAAAATACCAGAGAATGCTAAGGATCTTGAGGTGGTATGTGATAGAGGGGGGTCAGGGGAACAGGATCATTGGACAGGTCAGGTTGATTAGGAGGAACCAGCCACACAAAGCATTATAGGAAGTGTGTTCCAGGCAAAGAATAACAGCAGGTGCAAAGGTTGTGAGACAAGAATAAGCTTGCTGAGAGTGAGCAGCCCTATAGGTACAGTTAGAACTCAGAGCAGAAGTAAAATCAAACATGATGTTACAATGTCAAAATAAAAAAAGAGTAATAGTTAGGCTCTCTTATTGCATGCCAGCTTCTTGCAGATCTCACTGAATACTTCTCCAGTCTGAGGGAGTTACTGTCACCATTTTACAGATGAGGAAAATGAGACAGGGACAGATGAAATGACCTACCTGAGATTACACACCTTGGAAAGTGGGCATCAGGAGACTCTTACCCATAGTGGGAGGGCAGAAGAGCAGCATCCAGCCCAGTACTGGGGGTCAGGGAAGCCCTCTGGGTAGATGATGTTGAGACTGAGGCCTGAGGGGCAAGGAGACTTGGATGAGGGAAAGGTGTCTTCCAGACAGAGCACTGTAAGTTCAAGGCCTGGAGTCAAAGCTGGGACCTGTGTGTTTGGGAAAATGTCCACGGGGTGAAGTGATGCTGGGCCAGGGCAAGGGCAGGAGAGGCCAAAGAGCCAGTGCTCTCTCCTGGGGTGCTAGGGAGCTACGGCTGCAAGCAGGTGAATGGCAGGTTAGGGACAAACAGAAGGTGAAAGACTGGAGGCAGGGAGGCTGGGAGGAGGCTGGAGCTGTGACTGTGGGGATAGGAAGGAACATAGAAAATACAGGGGCAGGAATGAAGGGTGGGAGGGTTGAGGAGGAAGTAGAGGCAAGGCGGTGCCTGGGGGTCTGGCCCCAGGAACAGGTGGCAAGAGCGGTTCTGAAGTGGGGGCCTGGGGAAGGAGGGGGATGGCGGAGAAAGACTGAGTGAGGAAACTGAGACCAAAGAGGCTGAGGATGCAGTCTGGTTCTCGGGGGGTGGGGGTGGTGATTATGGGATGCTAGGGGCTGCTTCCTTCACCCAGCTACTTCCAACCCCCCAGGAGCCTGCAGCACCCCAATGTCCTCCAGTGCCTGGGCCTCTGCGTGGAGACACTGCCCTTTCTGCTGATTATGGAGTTCTGTCAACTGGTGAGGGTCTGGGGTGTTGAGGGAGGGCAGAGTGGGATATGGACAGAGTGGGGGGGGAGGGCAAGCCCAGGGTTCCAGGACTGTGGCATCAACACAGAGATACCTGTGTGGCCTGTACTAACATTTCTGGAGTGCTCTGAACTAGTGAGTGAGGTGAGTTCTGTTATTGCTCCCTTCAAGCAACAGGGGAAACTGAGGTTCAAATGGGCTGACCACACAGAGCAGAATCTGCTCCCATCTTCACTGCAGACTGGCTGGATGTGTGAGGGGCTGGTGGTGCTGACTCTTCATGTCTTCCTTCCAGGGGGACCTGAAGCGTTACCTTCGTGCCCAGCGGCCCCCTGAGGGCCTGTCCCCTGAGCTACCCCCTCGAGACCTGCGGACACTGCAGAGGATGGGCCTGGAGATCGCCCGCGGGCTGGCGCACCTGCACGCCCACAACTATGTGCACAGGTAGGCAGCCCAATGAGCCACGGAGAGGTGCTACTTAGGAGAAAGGGGAGGGAGATGAGGCTAGGAAGGAGGAGGAACTAGGGAAGGGGAGGAGTGATGATTGGCTAACACAAAAGAGGGGCAAACCTAGGAGTTAGGAGGAGTCAGGAGATGAGGGGATTGCTTGAGCTCAGGAGTTCCAGATCAGCCTGAGCAAGAGTGAGACATCATCTCTAAAAAATAGCTGGGTGTTGTGGCGGGCGCTTGTAGTCCCAGCTACTTGGGAGGCTGAGACCAGAGAATCACTTGAGCCCAGGAGTTTGAGGTTGCTGGGAGCTATGACACAGGGCACCCTACCGAGGGCAACATGAGACTCTGTCTCAAAAAAAAAAAAAAAAAAAAAAAAAAGGAGGAATCAGAAAAAAAGGTGGAGTCAGGAGAGAGAATTGCTAGAAGGGGTGGGAGATGGAGTAGAACTCCTGAGAGGATGAGGGGGAAGGGGAGGAATCAGAAGATGAGAGGGAAGAGTCAGCAAAGGAAGAGAGGGGCCAGGAGAAGGGTGAGGAGCAGAGATGGAGTAGTCAGGGGAGAAGGAGGAGAAAGGGAAGGAATCAGGGGTGAATGGATCAGAGGAAGGAGGAGGTATTAGGAGAGGAAAAGGAGCCAGGCGAGGGAGAGGAGTCAGGATGTGAGAGGAGGGGCCAGGAGAAGGGTCAGACGAGGCAAAGGCAGACTCTGGGAAAAAGGAGGAGTTAGCCTGAGGAGGCCGGGTGACAGGGCGGAGAGGCGGAGACAGAATGAAGAAGAGGAGACAGAGAGGAAGAGGGCGGAGCATGGTAGGGGTAGGGCTACCCCTGTACTCACCTCAGCCCTCCCCACCCCAGTGACCTGGCTCTGCGTAACTGCCTGCTGACCTCGGACCTCACCGTGCGCATTGGAGATTATGGGCTCGCCCATAGCAACTACAAGGTGGGGGATGCCTTCTCTCGGGGCAGGGGCCTGAGGGGGTACCTGAGGGGGTGCCTGAGCCTCCTGACCTCGCCCTGGCCCACCCCCCAGGAGGACTACTACCTGACTCCAGAGCGGCTGTGGATCCCGCTGCGCTGGGCCGCGCCCGAGCTCCTTGGGGAGCTGCACGGGACCTTCATGGTGGTGGACCAGAGCCGTGAGAGCAACATCTGGTGAGGACCTTGGGCCGCGGGCGGGGGTGGGGGTGGGGGTGGGGGTGGTGGGGGAGGAGGGCTAAGAAGAAGGGTCACTAGATGCCACTGGTTCTGCAGATAAGGAAACTGAGGCCCAGAGGGAGAGGCCCCATTGTGGGTAAAGGCTAGGCTCTGACTTATCTCTGCCCCTCTTCCGACCCACAGGTCCTTGGGGGTAACCCTGTGGGAGCTGTTTGAGTTTGGGGCACAGCCGTACCGCCACCTGTCAGATGAAGAGGTCCTCGCCTTTGTCGTCCGCCAGCAGCACGTGAAGCTGGCCCGGCCCAGGCTCAAGCTGCCCTATGCAGACTATTGGTGAGGCCACCCTGCCCCAGGACCCCAACCCTCCACATCCTACCAGCATAATGCCATCACCCCTGCCTTGTTTCCTGCCCCACCTACAATGTCATTGGCTCAAATCCCGTATCTCTCAAGAGTGAAGAGGATACGTCCCCAGCCCCTCTGCCAGCACCTGCTACCTGGAGGATGGAAACTGAGGCAGGGAGTGGCTGGGCTGCCATTTAATCAGAGTTTAACTAACTCTAAAAAATTCCTGTTGCTTACTTGTCTCTGATTCCAAAACTCACAGCCCAAACAGGGACCCTGCCCTAGCCATCATTTCCTCACATCTGCATTGTTGTCCCCTCTTCCTTCAGGTCCCTTGTCACCCTCCCTCTATCTGCCCCGTACCTCATTAACCCTCTCTGAATCTTTGCTCCCCTCTGTTACCCTCTCTTTGGGTCTCTGTTCCCATCCCTGGATCTCTGTCCCCTTCCTGGGTCTCCTCCTGGTTCATTCCTGTTCCCCCTCACCCCAGGTATGACATCCTGCAGTCCTGCTGGCGGCCACCTGCCCAGCGCCCCTCAGCCTCTGATCTCCAGCTGCAGCTCACCTACTTGCTGTCTGAGCGGCCACCCCGGCCCCCACCACCACCACCCCCGCCCCGAGATGGTCCCTTCCCCTGGCCCTGGCCCCCAGCACACAGTGCACCCCGCCCGGGGACCCTCTCCTCACCATTCCCCCTTCTAGATGGCTTCCCTGGGGCTGACCCTGATGATGTGCTCACAGTGACTGAGAGCAGCCGTGGCCTCAACCTCGAGTGCCTGTGGGAGAAGGCCCGGCGAGGGGCTGGCCGTGGTGGTGGGGCACAGCCCTGGCAGCCAGCATCTGCGCCCCCAGCCCCCCATGCCAACCCCTCCAACCCTTTCTATGAGGCTCTGTCTACACCCAGTGTGCTGCCAGTCATCAGCGCTCGCAGCCCCTCAGTCAGCAGCGAGTACTATATCCGCCTGGAAGAGCATGGCTCTCCACCTGAGCCCCTCTTTCCCAATGACTGGGACCCCCTGGACCCAGGGGTACCTGCCCCTCAGGCCCCCCAGGCCCCCTCCGAGGTCCCACAACTGGTGTCCGAGACCTGGGCCTCCCCCCTCTTCCCTGCGCCCCGGCCATTCCCTGCTCAGTCCTCAGGATCAGGCAGCTTCCTGCTGAGTGGCTGGGATCCCGAGGGCCGGGGCGCTGGGGAGACCCTGGCAGGAGACCCTGCCGAGGTACTGGGGGAGCGAGGCACTGCTCCGTGGGCAGAGGAAGAAGAGGAGGAGGAGGAAGGCAGCTCCCCAGGGGAGGACAGCAGCAGCATTGGGGGTGGCCCCAGCCGCCGGGGCCCCCTACCCTGCCCCCTGTGCAGCCGCGAGGGGGCCTGCTCCTGTCTGCCACTGGAGCGGGGGGACGCTGTGGCTGGCTGGGGAGGCCACCCTGCCCTTGGCTGTCCCCACCCCCCAGAGGACGACTCATCTTTGCGGGCAGAACGGGGGTCTCTAGCCGACTTGCCCCTGGCCCCCCCTACCTCGGCCCCCCCCGAGTTTCTGGACCCCCTTATGGGGGCGGCGGCGCCCCAGTACCCCGGGCGGGGGCCACCTCCCGCTCCCCCCCCCCCGCCGCCACCTCCTCGGGTCCCCGCGGACCCGGCTGTGTCCCCAGACCCCCCATCGGCCGTGGCCAGTCCCGGCTCAGGCCTGTCGTCTCCGGGCCCCAAGCCGGGGGACAGCGGCTACGAGACAGAGACCCCTTTTTCCCCCGAGGGACCCTTCCCAGGTGGGGGGGCAGCCGAGGAGGAAGGGGTCCCTCGGCCGCGGGCTCCCCCCGAGCCACCCGACCCAGGAGTGCCCCGGCCACCTCCAGACCCGGGTCCGCTCCTACTCCCAGGGAACCGGGAGAAGCCAACCTTCGTGGTTCAAGTGAGCACCGAGCAGCTGCTGATGTCCCTGAGGGAGGACGTGACAAGGAACCTCCTGGGGGAGAAGGGGGCGACCGCCCGGGAGACAGGACCCAGGAAGGTGGGGAGAGGCCCCGGGAACAGAGAGAAAGTCCCAGGCCTGAACAAGGACCTGACAGCCCTGGGCGACGGGAACCAAGCCCCAAGCCTGAGCCTCCCCGTGAACGGGACGATAGTGTTGGAGAACGGGGGACAGAGAGCCCCAGACATCGAGGGGAAGGCGGCCATCAAGGAGAAGGAGGCCATCGAGGAGAAAGCAGTGGAGAACGGGGGCCTGGGGTCCCCAGAGAGAGAAGAGAAAGCGCTGGAGAATGGGGAGCTGACACCCCCAAGGAGAGAGGAGAAAGTGCTGGAGAATGGGGACCTGAGGTCACCAGAGGTAGGGGAGAAGGTGGTGGTGAATGGGGGACTGACACCCCCAAAGAGCGGGGAGAATGTGTCAGAGAATGGGGGCCTGAGATTCCCCACGAACATGGAGAGGCTGCCAGAGACTGGGCCTTGGAGAGTCCCAGGGCCCTGGGAGAAGATGCCCGAGAGTGGGGGTCCAGCCCCCATGATCGAGGAGCCAGCTCCAGAGATCTCGCTGGAGAAAGCCCCTGCACCCGGCACAGTGGCCTCATCCTGGAACGGCGGGGAGACAGCCCCTGGCCCCCTTGGCCCAGCCCCCAAGAGCGGGACACTGGAACCCGGGACCGAGAGGAAAGCCCACGAGACTGGGGGGGTGCTGAAAGCCCCCGGGGCTGGGAGGCTGGACCTCGGGAGTGGGGGCCGAGCCCCAGTGGGCACGGGGATGGCCCCCGCCGGCGGCCCCGGAAGCGTCGTGGACGTAAAGGCAGGATGGGTAGACAACATGAGGCAACAGCCACCGCTGCTGCCACCACCACCGGAAGCACAGCTGAGGAGGCCGGAGCCAGTGCCCCAGAAAGCCAAGCCGGAGGTGGCTCCCGAGGGAGAGCCCGGGGTCCCAGACAGCAAGGCCGGAGGAGACATGGCACCCAGCGGAGACGGGGACCCCCCCAAGCCCGAGAGGAAGGGCCCCGAGATGCCACGACTATTCCTGGACTTGGGACCTCCTCAGGGGAACAGCGAGCAGATCAAAGGTGAGGCTGGGGGAGCACAGTCAGAGGCTAAGGTCTGGCTCCTTCCAAGGCATGTGTTTCAGCTAAGGGTGTGGGGTCAGGGTGGTGTGATAAATGTAGAATCTGGAGCCACACTTCCTAGGCTTGAATCCTGGCTCTGGCCTTGGGTAAATGTACTTATTGCTCTGTGCCTCAGTTTCCCCATCTGCTAAAAACAGATGACAATAGCATCTACCTCCAGGGTTGTTGTGAAGGTTAAATGAGTTACTTAACTCAGTGCCTGGGGTTCAGTAAGTACTTGCTTTTATTAATTACTGCCATTCATTTAGACCAGGAATCTCAAACTCAGATGCCCACTTAGGGCAATGGATGAAGTGGGTTGGGGGAGGTGGGGCCAAAATGCCTTGTCCAGAGGGGCACAACCGCTTCTCAGGAATACCTACCTGGTGTTGCCAAACTTGCTACTTTTCCTTTTTAAACCAGATGTCTGGATTTATATTAATGGTTGCAACCAATTCAGAGAAAGTCTAGATGGGTCAGAGTTCCTGGGCTGCCAGGATGTGATCTCTATTTTAAACCTTCCAAGCCATCTATCCAGTGTGCCAGGACTCCCGCATGCCAGGCCTTGGGCTGCCCAAGGTTAGGGCCCAAGGATCCTCAGACCCTGCCCTGACCCAACCCATTTGCCATGGAATTGGTGAGCCAGAAGGTATAGGGATGCTTTTTCTGAAAACTGAGTTTTGGTAAGAACACAGGAAATGTTTTGCCACAGAGGACACTATTTAAGAGAATATAAATGGAGGGTAAAGGTAAACAGCCTCTGTGCAGATATGGACACAGGTTTATGGTCCCACCAGAACCTCTGAGAGGCCAAATTTCCTTAAATACTGGTATGAAAGTTAAAAATGGCTGTGTCCTGTTTTATATTGGCAGCCTTCTAGCCATACTTGAGGGGAGGGTTATCATCCCTGCTTACCACAGGAGCCTGTGGCTGGTGGGTAAGGATCAGGAAGGAGACTAAACACAAGACTCTTCTTCCTCAAAGCCTATGTTGTTAGAATACTACAACTTTTAGAGATTGTTATGGGAAGTTTGCGACCAACTGTGACAGGAACAACACCAGGCAGCATGAAAATGTTGGGGGATGAGCAGCGAGGATGCCTCAGAGGAGATAGGTTGGATTAGGGTTGATGGGTGAAAAAAAGGAAGGAATGGCCTGGCCTGCTCTTTTTCACTCAATGAACTACTGCATCCTTCCAGACTCCACCCAAATTTCACCTTCCCTGGAAAGGCTTCCTGATTTCTAAAGATTGTCAACCTGTCTTTTATTTGGGTACCTACAACCCCTGAGAGCTCCCTCTATTCAGCATCCCCCCCAATCTCATCACCCTGAGATGGTTGGTCAACCAAGGCCTCAACAAGGTGATGGAAGATAAGGAGGAAGTGAAACAAGTAGACATCTGGGGGATGGGTGTCCCAGGTAGAGGGCACCAAAATGGGCACTAGCTTGGCATGTTTAGAGAATAGCAAAAGGTCAGTGAAACTGGAGTAGAAAGAATGAGAAGAGTGGCCCAATCCATTTCCATCTTTTTCCCTGCCCTGACCATGGCCCTCCTTTCATCCCACCATTGCCCCCTATAGGGCCTGACAGAAAGTTCACATGTAGATTAAGGGGGAATGAGTAGCCCCTGTTCATTTGCCAGTGAGGAAGGAAACAGAGGCACAGAGGGGTGGATCTGTTTACCCAGGGACACACAGCAAGGGATTAGTATAGGCTTGGGATTCCAAGCCACATTTCCTTCTCCAGGAACCTAAGGGCCTTCCCTTTCTGGGCCGGGTGAGATCGAGGGAGTCTTGGGGCAGAGAAAGGGCCTGCAGATGATTAGACACCTCAGTTTCCGCAGTGGAAGGCTAGAGAGGGGAAAGACCTAGGTCAGTGTCACACAGCATTTTGTGTAATAGGCATTCATTCATTAATTCATTTATTCCACAAGTACTGACTGAGTACTTCTATGTGCTTGGGGCCTAGAAATGCTAATGATCCAGACTCAGTCTCTGTTCCACATTGAGGCAAACCCTAATCCAAACGCCAAAGAAATATATAGTTACATACGGAGATAATCTGCTTGGGAGAAGTGTTCAGTCATATGGGGTGCACAGTGGGTGCTCCTGGTGTCCTGAGAGATCTCTGAAGGGTCTGAAAGGCCAGAGCCCGAAGATGAGCAGGACATGCCTTGGAAAAGGGAGTCCAGGCAGATGCAACAGCATGCAAAGACTTGGAGGTGGGAGGAATGGGGAAATGGCCCATGTGGCTGGATGGAGGTTGTGCCACAATGAGGAGAAGAGAGACTGGAGAGGCCAGCTAGACCCAAGGCACTGGGTCTCTTGTGCTGTGGAATAGTTGGAACTTTGGGCTATGAGCACTGGGGAGCTCAGAGGTTAAGCACTGAATGGATCTTTCCCACCCTGCGTGGAGAAAGGCTCCAGTTCAACCTTCAGCTCACAGAGGGGCTGGGGGCTGAGGCCCAGATTGTATTGGGGGCTTACCTAAGGACACAGCTAGGTGGAAAGGCCTGTCTCAGTTTCCCCTAGGACAGGGGCTCACCGGGTCTCTCCCCTCACAGCCAAGCTCTCACGGCTCTCGCTGGCGTTGCCACCGCTCACGCTCACGCCATTCCCGGGGCCGAGCCCGCGCCGGCCACCGTGGGAGGGCGCGGACGCCGGGGCGGCTGGCGGGGAGGCCGGCGGGGCGGGGGCGCCGGGGTCGGCGGAGGAGGACGGGGAGGACGAGGACGAGGACGAGGAGGAGGACGAGGAGGCAGCGGCACCGGACGCGGCGGCGGGGCCCCGGGGCTCCGGGAGGTCACGGGCAGCCCCGGTGCCCGTCGTGGTGAGCAGCGCCGACGCGGACGCGGCCCGCCCCCTGCGGGGGCTGCTCAAGTCTCCACGCGGGGCCGAAGAGCCAGAGGACAGCGAGCTGGAGAGGAAGCGCAAGATGGTCTCCTTCCACGGGGACGTGACCGTCTACCTCTTCGACCAGGTGTGCATCGTGGAAGGGCGCGGCCTGGGTGGGAGGGACATGAAAGAAGGCGGAGCCCAGGGCGGGGCGGTGGTGGAGGGCGGAGCCTGAACGGAGATGGTGCCCAGAGTAGGCGGGGTAGAGGGTTGGGCCTGGAGCAGAGCGTGGAGGGATGCCAAACCTAGGACCCGACGGCGCGAGGTCTGGAGAGAAGCCAGGGCTAGAGTTGGAAGAGAGGCTGGTATGGGGCTGACAAAGCCAGGCGGCGGTGCGGCCTGTGGAGAGACTGGTCTGGGAAATGGGACAGGACTAGGAAGATGGAAAAAGGCCTTGAATGTGAGGGCGGGGCCGGGAGGCTGGGCGGATCCTAGAGCCAGGATGGGAGCTGTGATGGTGTAGGGGTCTGGAGGGGGCGGGAGTTAGGAAAGGCCTGGAGAGTGAGAGCACAACTGTAAGGAAAGTAGTAGTCAAGTAGCGGAGCCTGGAGAGGCCAGGAAGAAAGAGTTGAGAAGAGGACTGGCACGTGGCCTGGGTGGATGCCGTGGGCGGGGCCTAGTGAGATTTGGGACAGAGTTGGGTGACCAGCTTACTCGTGGCCATAGACGCTGTGGGGCTAGCTTAGGTTGGGGCCCATCTTACCTACTAGGGAAGGGGCATGGCGAGGCTGCAGATGGGATTTAAGAGATGCAGAAGGTAATGTTAAGATATTTTGAGGTGAGGTCAGGGATAGGCGGAGGTAATGACTGGGGGCGAGTTGTAGAGCGATAAGTTGAGGGTTGTGTTAGAGTAACAAGGAGATAGTGTTGAAGAGAAAAGGAGTGGCCCAGGTGGTGCTTAAGGACTAGGACATGTCTAGATGAACCTGGGGCGTGCATATCAGGAAAAGATCGTGAGATGAATGAAACAGGGTCAAGACTTGCGGCCTGAGCCCCTGAGACAAAGGGATGGGACTTGGAGGGCTGGAGCGGGTCCATTCTGCGGCGGTGTGGTCGCACCCCAGAGCAGGATGTGCGCCGGATAGGGCAGGGCTTTGGAGGGCCATAGGATCAGGTAGTTCTGGGGCCCCACATAAAGCTGCGGCCTAGATCTCAGAGGTGGGTGGGACTGCTGGAGACGACGCGTGGCTTACAGAGATTGTATTGGGTTAAGGGCTCCTGTGGGGGCAGCGCGTTCAGGAGCAAGGAGAGAGAATTCCTGCCGTGGGCTGCATATCTGTGGGCGGGGCTTCGCAGTCAGGTAAGGAGGCCCAAGGCTTCCAAGCCAGATTAGCGGCCCCAGACCCCTCTCCACAGAGTGCGAGTCAGTGAATGTAAATTAGGATGTCTGGAGTTCCAGAAATTTTAGCGGGTTTTGTTTTCTGGGGATGCAGTGGGTGGGATGTAATTGTTCGTCTTCTCTGGCTTCCTCTAATCTTTCGCAGGAGACGCCAACCAACGAGCTGAGCGTCCAGGGCCCCCCCGAGGGGGACACGGACCTATCAACGCCCCCAGCGCCCCCGACGCCTCCCCACCCCGCCACCCCCGGAGATGGGTTTCCCAGCAACGACAGCGGCTTTGGTGAGGGAGGGCGAGTTGGAGCGGGGCCGAGTTGGGGCAGGGCAGGATGGTGGGCGCTACAGTTGGGGGTAGGAACACCGGACGTGTCCTAGAGTCTGACTGCTTTCTCTCCTCCCCTCACCGCCCCTAGGAGGCAGTTTCGAGTGGGCGGAGGATTTCCCCCTCCTCCCCCCACCAGGCCCCCCCCTGTGCTTCTCCCGCTTCTCCGTCTCGCCTGCGCTGGAGACCCCGGGGCCCCCCGCCCGGGCCCCCGACACCCGGCCCGCAGGTATGGTGTTTCAGGCCCTCGGCCCGCCCTGCCCCACCTTTGCCCACTTCTGTCCCCTGCATCTTGTCCCCATCTTTGAATTTCCCTTCCTCCCCCTTATCTCTTCCTTTTTTACTCTTAGTCATCAGTGACATCCCACCTGGCTCTCAGCACTGTACATTGGATGGTCTCTGGCAGTCAGACCCTCACGCTGAGCCTCAGTTTCCTCCTTTGTAAAGATCCCCTTCAACTTTTGCCCATTTTGTCCTATCTCTGGGCTCAGACTCCAGCCTGGTACTTACTGGATCCTGATCCCACCTCCGATTGGGGGGCACTTTGATCAGAGGCAAGATGAGGAGAAAGGAAGCCAGCGTGCTTAAAGCTGGTTAGTAGTGACTAGAGCAGAGAGGACCTGGTCAGGGAGTGCGGTGCCAAGAGCCAGCCCTCACATAGACCATGCAAAGTGTCTGCCACATTGTAACCTGTTTAATCTTCACCCCTATGGGATGAATTTCAGTCTTGTCTAAGGTGACCAGATTTTAACATTGGTAAAGGGGGACACCATTGACAGGGAGCGGGGCCTGACAACAATGCAAACTTTGATAAGCAGTTCTCGATAATCACTTCTCAACAATTATTTGTTATTATTACAGTTTAACATTATAAAATTAACAAAAATAATATAAAACTCATATCCTGACGAAATAGCCACATGGCAGCTGAAAACCCTATATTCCCTTACTGTTCTCCCGCCAGTGTGTGCATTCTTTACAAAAATCGGGACTTTTTTAAAACGCCGCGGGACGCGGGACAAATGGTTAAAAATCGGGACTTTCCCGCCAAAAGCGGGATGTCTGGTCACCCTAGTCTTGTCCCCGTTTACCAAAGAGAAAACTGAGGCACAGAGAGGAGTGGGGAGCCAGGATTCAAACCCTCACCGTCTGCCCTGAGTCCCTGCCCTCTGCAGGAGCCAACATTCGTCAGGTTTCTCTCCTGTGGTGTTTTACATATCATTAGTCCCCATAGCTACCTTGGGAAAGTATCACGTCATTCTTAGTTTCTGATTGTGCTGATGCTGAGGCCTCTGTTAAGAGAAAGGAGGGCACAGGCTAGCCTCACGCGGCTGGACTGGTGCGGGTCTGGGCTCTCTGCTGCCCCCTGCTGCCCAGCCAGAGCACAGCCCCCGGGGGAACAGAGTAAGGTAGAAAGTAACACCTGAGCTTTTCTGTTTCGTTCCTGCTCCCCTAAACCTAGTTTGAGTCCAGACATTGGCCCTGCCATATCTCAGTTGTATGACCTAGAGCAAGTCACTTTCCTTCTCTGTGATTTAGTTCCCTTATTTGTAGAATAGAAATGATAGCAGAATTTGACTCAGAAGATTGTTGAGTGAATTAAATGGCTTGGAGAGGCACAGGGGGGTTCCATGCTGAGCAGGGTGGTGAGCCCTGCTGCCCTCCCACATACCCTGACCACACAGGGCCACCATAAATGAAGAATTGAAATGCAGGGTTCCTGAGAAAGCAGATGACACAAGGAAAGGGCTTTGTTTTCCCAGTAGCAATGTCTTTTAACCAGGACTGGAAGGGTTGGTTGTCAAGAACTAGGTGAAGGTGAAGGGGACAGTGTGCTAGCAGAGGGGACAGCTTGCACAGTGGGCCTGAGGCAGAATAGAGCTTGCCAGTTCAAGGAGCAGAAGGGAGACTGATGTGGCTGGGGGAGGCTTGGAGAATGTGGAGGGTGAGGTGAGAACAGGCATAACAGACCAGGTAAGGCTTGGGGTGGACTGAGGACTCCCTGGGAATGCTAGGGAACCATGGAGGACTGTAAGCAGGCAAGAGGCAGGAGGAGGAAATGTTGGGTTTAGGAAGACCCCTCTGGGGTCAGATGGGGCTGAGGAAGAGAGAGAATGGGAGCTGGGAGGCTGGTTGAGGCCTGAGCCAAGGACCAGGAGGAAGAAGAAAGTGAAACGGCAGCTGGGTGAGGCAGGGCAGAGAGACACAGGGTGGGAGTCCTGGGCTGGGGGCTTACTGGTTCTTCACTTGGCTGCATCCTCAGGCCTTACCCCAAATATCACTTCTTCCCTGAGGTGCCTATTTTGGGGTCCTCATGGGGAGAGAGTGGGGTAGATTTCAGGGCATGAGGACACCAGCCAAGTGGTGAGTCAGGGCTGAGCCTAGTAGGGCCAGCAAGTGGATGACCTCACCTTTAATCACCAGGAGAAGAGATGGAGAGCCAGTCATATGAAACCCCAAATCCCTTTACTCACTCGAGAAATATTCCCACTTCAGTGTGGGCTGGGCAGCCTTCAGTCTTGTCTGTCTCCCAAGACGGGAAGCCCAGGGCAGGGTCCTCCTTTCTGTGCTCAGCTCGTTTCTGCCCACTAAGCATATATGTGGTGGGTGCTAAGTGACACAAAAAATCCCAAAGTCTCCCGCTCCTTTGAAAAGGAGACAAAGATCATGCTTTCCATTAAAGAGGGAAATAGGCTCAGGGGCGGGGGGCGGGGCAGGTCCCCCCCAATAAGAAAAACAAGGTAGAGTGAGCGAGCCTGACGTGTGGCCCTTGGGGAGAACCCAAAACCCTAGACCTTGGTCATCATGGGAAGGTTTGATAGGGGTCTCCTGGGGAAGGGTTTTTCCACTGGGGAAAAGAATGCTTGGCTGCAGGCTGTATACTGTGACAAAGCAGTGACCACAACTCCTAACTTCACCAAGCTTATGTTCTAGAGGAGCAAGCAGATAGGAAGCTCTTCTTCAAGGACTGGTGGGGTCATCCCAGAGAAATGGGAAATGAGATAGAGTAACTGGGAGTCAGGGCTGACTGTGGGACTCTGAATGCCTGGGGAAGGCTCAGAGGAGGGGACATTGAAGCCCTGGTCTGAGTTACATGAGAAGATGGTTTCCGGCAGTGAGAGCACTCAGTGCAAAGGCCCTGGGATGATACTATGCTTAGGGCATTGGAACAGCAAGGAGATCCATGTGCCTGGAACTGAGGGGGGGAAGGGGCAGGTAAGGACAAAGAGGGACAGAGTGGATCACACAAGCTTTGTGAGCCACAGGGAGGGTTTTGCTTTCACACTGAGTTGGAAGCCAAGAACCTGTTTCTCCAGTTTTAATTTCATTTCCCTCTCCACTCTCCATCCTTAGGCCCCGTGGAGAACTGATTCCCCGAAGACCTGGCCCCCTTGCACCCCTAGAAGAGGGGTTGAGAGTAGAATCCTCTGTGGACGATGGAGCCACTGCCACCACCACAGACGCCGCCTCTGGGGAGGCCCCTGAGGCTGGGCCCTCCCCATCCCCCACCATGTGCCAAACAACGGGAGGCCCTGGCCCCCCACCCCCTAGCCCTCCCGATGGCTCCCCTGAGCCTCCTGACCCCCTCGGTGCCAAATGAGGCAGGAAGCCCCTTGTCCCTACCTAGACAGCCACCTTTCTTGGAACTGAACTGAACTCTTTTGGGCCTGGAGCCCCTCGGCACAGCGGAGGTCCCTCCTCACCCACTCCCGGCCCCAGACAGGGGCCATAGGCTTCGGGGACCTGGAGCCCCCCATCTCATGTCTCCCCTACCCTTCCCCTGTCCAGCCCCTGGAGGGGCCTCTGATTCAGACCTTCGCGTGGCATTTTCACATTATTTAAAAAAGACAAAAACAACTTTTTGGAGGAATGCAGGGCCTGTGTGTGTTTTGGGAGGGGGTGGGGGGAGAATTCAGGGAGTGAGTACTACCCAAGAGGAGTCCCCATTGTTACAGCCCAGTGGGGCAGACTGGACATGGAGGCTCAGAGAGGTGAAAACGCCCATGCAGGGAGGCTCCTAGCTTCACTGCTTCTTCTGATCTTGCTCTGGGTCTGGTGTGAGCATCACCTGATTTCTGCAGCCATCCAAGATGGTTCCAGAGGCCATGAGGAGCTACAAGGCTTGGGAAGGTGGTGGCTGTGGTGACAGCCCTTTCTGCATGGCAGCCTGTGGTGGTAGCCAGGAGCAGTCCCAGGATTGGGGCCCCAAATGACTTGCCAACACCCACATACTTCAGATTGGTACTTCCAGTTCCCCAAATGTCAAGGGCTGCCTCATTGTCCATCTGGTTCTGCCTCAGTTTACCTGTTTCTCCATGCGACTGCCCACCTTCCTGTCATTCTTACCTCTTGTCATCACCCTAACCACATCTGTCCCTTCAGCTGCCTGCCTCACCCTGCTCCAGTTTTGGTATCTAC